TTTCCATCTGATAACATGTCAGCGATGTCTGAGGAGCTTTTATAAACACTGTATAACTAACACTCCTGGAGAGGGTATGAATTACACAGAGGCTTCTAGGGAGCCCAGTTATGGGGGGTGGGGGTGGGCGGGGTCATTTTGCCTTGGCCCCCAAAATGTCTTGAAACGGCCCTGGGTGTGTGACTGAGTTTTGAAGGTGATCTGAATTGTATCAGATGTATAAATATGTGTAGAACTTATTGTTTTGTACAGGTAAAAACGTGTAGTGGAGATAAATCTACCTACATTTTACTTTTCAACACTTTGTTTTGTTTTCTTGTCTTTATTTAACTATTTTCTTGTCCTATCTGCCCGGACAGAGTGAAAAGTGGACATGTCCGGGGAAAACCGGACGTACGGTCACCCTAGTTTAATATAAAGCGGGAGATTACACATAGGCCTACACTATTTTGCTCGTGCCCTTGCTGCCCTGGGCCCTTTAGAGATCTTGCGCCCTGGGCAGAGGTGGAAAGACTACTAAAATTACCTACTTAATGACGAGTACCAATACTTTGATAATTTTTTACTCAATTACAAGTAAAAGCACTTGCCTAAATTTTTACTCAAGTAAAAGTAAAAAGTATCGTAAACAAAATGTACTCAAAGTAAAAGTTACTTAGTTACATTTTTGTAAGCGTAAAAATGGCTACATCTAAGTAGTGCTAAATCACAACGCCAGTTCACAATGCGCTCGTGTGTGCGCACACACACACACTCAAACCCGCAAGGCTTGAAGGAGGGATTTCTATTCAATCAGTGAGAACAGGACGTGCACATTGACTGGACGAGGTTTTTCTAGGATGGTTAGTTTCAATTGTGATTAACATTATTCTTTATTTTGAGAAAAAAATATATTTTTTAGATGCCATCAGTATGTGAGCTATCTCAATGTTTTCATGACAAAACTCTAACATGAGACTGTGCTCTAACCTGTCACATAACAAGCTAAATGAAAGTCAAATATTTCAGATGGACCGTATGACAGCTGTTAACGTTGGCCCTGCCCTACTTTACCTCTACATTACAGTTCCTTTATCCATGTCCATCCTAGAGCTCCTCTCTGACCTTCATGCTTATTTAGAGTAGCTGATTTTTAAAGTTAGCAGAGTTCATCCTTGGTAGTGGGTTCACTCACTCATTTAACCCTTCACCACTGAAATCAGTTTGTTCATTCCAGTCCTCCTAAATAATCCTCCAATCATCCAACTGGAATCCTTAAGGGTCCCGTAACGTCCATCCTGTCAGAACAGGCCTTGGGAGCCCAGGTGTTACTAGAACTAATGGTGTCTCCTCACCAGCGTGAGCCAGTCTGTGAAAGTTGGACTCCAAACATGAACTTTAAATTAATGCATTCATCTCCTCTTGTAGCACATTAACATGTTTTAAAAGGCTTGTATCATGATATGTTACACCTCCCAGACCAAAGATAAGATAAAACATTATCATAAACACTATTAAGATGTCATTATTTATGAAATATAAGTTATTTTCCTGAGCCATTACTTCAGCCAAGATATAAGATGCATGGATTTGATGAAACCACGCTGTCTCATGCAGTTCTATATGTGTAACACACACACACACACACTGCATTCATCTCCTCTTGTAGCACATTAACATGTTTTAAAAGGCATGTATCATGATAAGTTACACCTCCCAGACCAAAGATAAGATAAAACATTATCATAGACACTATTAAGATGTCATTATTTATGAAATATAAGTTATTTTCCTGAGCCATTACTTCAGCCAAGATATAAGATGCATTTAATGAAACCACGCTGTCTCAAGCAGTTCTACATGTGTAACACACACACACACACACACACACACACACACATGCACGCTCGCACATGCACACGCAAGCGCGCGCGCACACACACACACACTGCAGCATGTTCGAATAATTTGAATGACTAATTTAACTACACTGAACTGCTTTTGTAATAATTTAATCACTTATTCTGGACTAAAATAAAGAAACAAGCTAAATCATCACATATCTGGCATCAAGAAGCATCTTCTGAGTTCAAACACAGGGATGGAGCACAATGTTTACACCTGAACAGTATGAGAATGTTTTAAATCACAGAGGCCTGCAGGTCTTCTGTTTTATGAGCAGAGCGCTGAGAATCCGCTTGTTATGAGCGCTAAACGTTACTTTGCCGCTGCCGTGCGGAGCGGTAGGGAAACACATTTCAAACACGCAACCGAGTCCGGCTACCGAACCGAGCAGAATTCCGATGACGTCACACCGGTGCGCGAAAGTGCGGGTTCCAACCCACAGGAGGAGGGAGAGAGGAGGTGAACAGCAAGTTGATCGACTGAACTTATGTCTTTGAGCAAAAGTGTACACCCACACACCCCCAACGGTTTAGACGTGGCGCTCATGCAGGTGTCTCTTTCCGTTCCGACGCTGCTTCACGTAATATTTGTAATTTATTTAGCCTATAATTTATTTTTACTCAGTAACGGATATGATTTAAAATGTAGCGAATTACAATTCTTTTTTAAAAACTTACTCAAGGAAAAGTAAAAGTACAGCTTTTAAAAACGACTTAAAAAGTATAAATATACAAAAAAGCTACTCAATGACAGTAACGTGAGTAAATGTAATTCATTACTTTCCACCTCTGGCCCTGGGCAATTGCCCACTTGCCCATATGTTTAATCCGGCCTTGATCCCAGTCTTCGAACATTGCTAAACCAGACCTCCGCAGCTTCCAAAGAATGCTTTCCCTGACAATTACAGCAAAACTAGCAGTCTAATTTACAAGCCTACACAAACACCCCACTGAAATAAATTTGCACACACAGGCTATTAACATGGATTTAGAGCCAGCAGAATAGCAGAGAAGCTAACTTACAACAGCCAAATCTTATCATGTTTAAACACCGCCAAAAAACAAGCAAATTTGACTCACCTCAACAGAAGACGATGCGCTGCGTTAAATGCAAACAGAGGAACAGAGGTGAAGGAAGCTCTCCAAATATGGTTGATACCAACTTGGAAAACGAGGGTTAGGGAGTACTCTGAATATACACGAGGTACACTCAAAGCGGGTCTGTAAAAGACTGAAGCGTTTTGGGTGCCTATTTCAGTTAAAGGTTGTCTCAACCAATCAGTGGGGCGGAAGACGGTTTTTGAAACCAAACAACCAATAGAACTCCGGGACTTGACGTTACTTTACTTTTTTCACAATTAGTAACGCTACAAATCGGTTTCACCTTGTTCAATAAAGTTTTGAAAAAAAAAAACACTACAAATCGAAAATCAGCACGTAGAAACGTCTCCCATAGCGTAGGTGCTACTTACCACATCGCCAGATTTATGGTGTTCTTTTTTCCTGTCGAATAAACAATTATAAGTTCGCTGAACTTGCAGCCATTTTCCTACTGGTTTTACCGAATACTTTGACATCATGTTTCAATTCAAACACTGTAATGATTAACTGAGCATTAAACATAAATTAGATTTTTTCCCCATCTCTTTAAATTACAATGCTGTGTATGTTTTACACGTGATTTTTTACTAGAAAAAGGAATCAGCTGCACAAATGATCATATCAGCATGCTGCAGGTTCCTACCCCATTTGCACATGCTAAAATATGTGACAGTTATTTTATGTGAGTAATTTTATACTAGGATATCAGTCTACTGTGCTTTGCCTTTTCTTGCAAGAACGCTTAATATATAGTCATTTCATTCTCCATGATAGAGCCTGACATTCAGCTTTTACAACATTCTACAGTACTCTCATATCTTGCATTAGAGTTTAATTATTTATACCGTTTTTAACGTACATCACATATAAATGAGTTGATCCTTGCATATGACATTACCTTTAAAATGAAAAATTTACTAATATCAGTAATATATACACATTAAATAATACCAGAAGAATAACACACATGTCAAAATGTAGTCTGTAACCCATGTGAACTTTTCATTTTGTCCTGTAGGCTGTTGGATGGTAATTCCACACAGGGGGCTGGCCCACCTATCAGATAGGAGGAATAAAGGAATCAGATCAACAGCTCCTCACCACCAGATTGTATTCCTAAGGGGTAGCATCCAGTCAGTTTATCTTTTTGAAACTTTACCTCTTCATCTGCCTTTGTTCATTCCGTAGGATTGCAAAACTCCAGCAACTCATGACGCCTTAATAGCTACCATCCTCTCCTCCAGAACCACGTTTGAATCTGTTCCCTGGCTCCATGGATGGCCTCCCTTACTTAAATCATCTGGTCTTCAGTGCATGTCCTGTCCACACTCCAAATAAACACTGTAAGCTGTTTCCTAAATGCATCATCACCATTCTCTTATAGACTGTTGCTCATGTACACTTCCTGATTCCATATGGATCTTCTCACCTGCCCACAACTTTGCTTTCTCCACACTGAAATACATAATTTTTGCTACATGTAATAATGAAGACCCCAATGACAACAAGAAAATAAGGAACATTTGCATTACATAACCCTTTTGAAAACAAACATTTGTCAAATAACTTCTGTTAGCTATTATTTAATGAAGATTGTAGCCATGTTACACCTATTGAATATGATTTGATTTTCATGTTTCTGTTCAATTTCTGTAAATTACACAAAATGTCAACTGTAATTACATCACAATACATCATTGATGTCAAATTACAGTGCTGTAAAATTAACATTTGTCTTTCTAAAATTTTTAACCATTTAACCATCCTTTGTCTATGGAATTACGAGCCTCACTTATGGTAATAACCATCACGATTAAACCCAGGTTTGTGTTGGTACCTGAGAATATCTCAAACAACAAGGACTCAATCACTACCAGAAATCACAACATTTATTCAGTTACAAACAAGGCTACACACAGGGAACACTAAGGACACAACAAGCTCATCCAGATTTGTCATGTAGGGCTGCAGTCTTTTAACCCACATGAAAGAATCACACACGGAGAGAGAGGTGAGTAAAATTATACATGTTTTATTATAAAGAAAAATAATAACAAAAAGCGCTGATCCAAACTGGGCCAGGGGGAGTATTCCAATCCTAAAATAGAAGATAACAAAATGAATACTGACAACCAGGCAAACACCGGAGTAATGGTGGCGTAGTCTTACTGTGTGAAGTGGGGTTTTGAGCAGGAGAGGGAGGCAAGTCAGGTTTGAGCTGGAGATGGTCTGGTGGAGAGGAGTAGCAGGCAGTGAAGTAATCCAGGACAGGTGAGAGGTGGAGAGCGGGAGACCAGAGGAGTTGAGCGGCGTTGGGTGAAAAATCCACTTCAGACAGCAGGAAGCTGAGGTAAGAATCCAGGGCTGGTACTGCAGCAGACAAGGAGAATAAAACTAAGCACGGGGGAGAAAAAATACGAGGCTAGATTTAAACAGGAACGAGGAGAGCTACAGTACCCAACAATAGAGTATCAACCGGCGCTGAAGTGTGGCAACACTGCTCCTTATATCCTCTGGCCTGGCTGATGGTCATCAGCTGCAGCTGGGGCTCTCCAACCTGCTCACCTGCAAACACTTACCCCTTCTTTCCACTGGAGCCGTCAGCAGCACGTTACTGCAGCAGCACGTCAAGCTGCTGCTCGGCCCTTCCCACGAGACGTGAAGCAGCAGGGGAGCAGCTGTCACCGACCGAGCACGAAGTCACACGAGTGACTTCGTCAGTAAACACAACAACAAGCAGGAGAAAACTACAACATGGTTTGTGTTTTATGTTCTGTCCGTTTTATAATCGCCAATACGGACCTGAAAAACAAAGGAGACCGCTAGCCTGGTGATAACTTCTCACGGGGCCGCACAGTTAGTAACCTTTTTTAAAGTAAAGCAACCGAAGGCAGTACGTTTCTTTATTCTGAAAATCTCGGGAGCTTCTCTCCATTTCCGCGTCCGATTTCCTGTCTTTCCTTCCCCAAAAATGTCGAACTTGACCAGTTTCAGAGGCATCGCGCGTAGAAAATAGAACCGGCGCGTAAAGGCCGCGACATGCTGCTCCTGAGACGCGGCCGACTCGCGCTGCTGACGGCTCCGGTGGAAAAGGTTCTGTTGACCACAGCGGCTCCTATCAGCAGCTATGACGTGCTGCTGCAGTAACGTGCTGCTGACGACTCCTGTGGAAAGAAGGGGTTAAGAGCACAGCAGCAGAGGAAAAGCAGAGCCATGACAAGATCACAGTAAATCAACAGGTGTAAAAGGCCTCCACACCAAGCCTGAACAAGAGCACTGCAGCGCTGCAAACTCACTGTACACAGAACCACAAGACAGTACAGATGCTTGGGTCAGAGGCTGAAAACAGGGCAGATGAACAGTTTAATACCATGATGCAGTTCTTCTGTGAACTGACAGACAGGCAGTCTAAAAACACACAGCTCACCTGGACAAAGCAGCCAACCAGCAGAAGCATGGAGGGTGTTTTGACTGCAGTGAACACCTTAGCAGATAAAAGTTAACTTGTGACTCCACGTGCATATCACACATGTGAAGTTATTTTTACACTGAAATACTTGAGTTTGTAACAGGCATGCTTTTAATAAATGACTTTAAGAGTCAGAAGTACTTTGTCTCTGAGTGATGTCAGGTAGATGCAGTTTACTCACATTAAATATAAACTACTGGCTCTCATCCTCAGGTGTGTAATCTACTCCAGTTACTCAGGTTGTTGCGAGTCCCACATGCCAAAGACAGTGGCAAGTATGGGGTCAAAAGGTGAGCCATACTGGACTGGCTTGTGCGAGCAAAATCAGCCAGTCGACAGGAGCTGGGCTGCAGGTCAAAAAAACTGTGGTCAGAAACAAGGGTCACACAAGGGTCACAGGGACAAGAGGACAGAACTGGGCGAAGGGTCAGGAGACTGACCCCACCTCTTTGCCCCACCCCTGGCTTGGAAAGATGGGATTGGAGGAGAACAGAATGAAGACAAGCCCATCAGATCCAGAAGCCCTCTCGGGAACATTGGAGAGAAACTGAAGAATGCTGCAAAAGATGATGCAATGACCTGTGTTAAGAAGGAAAATGACACCAAATGTTTTGTGTTGAGCTACAAAGTGTGTATCTGGTAAATGACCCCATGACCTTAAGCTGGTCCAGGAAGGGTATATAAGAACAGCTCTGAACAGCAGATGGAGATTGAGAGATTCGACAGCAGTTGGGGCAGAGGACAGAGAGGAGAGCAGATGGGGAGGGGTCATCCCCCGTCCAAACCTGGATGGGGGATGACAGAGAGAGAGAGACTAGAAAGAGTTCGATTCTGAGAAGACAAGAGCTGGTGTAAACTAACTCTTATTTAATCATTTTGAACTAATTCCTCCGTGGGGGATAGCAGTTGTTTTTTCATCTACCCATTTTTGTATTTTGATTTTGTAATAAACCTTTTTTGAAAAAGAAACATAATCCTGATTCTTTCAGGTTTTCTCTAAAGCTTCACGAGTGGGGGCTCTGATCATTAATTGCACAGAGGTAAGCACATTAATTATGGGTTCTGGAATTATCAGGACTTACTTTACGGTTTGTGACAGATTAATATAAAGAAACCTTAAGATAACGGGATTGCTTAAAAAGAAGTGAGCTACTACAGAAGGAAAGGTCTTACATATTATTTCACCTTTAAAATAAAAGATATGATTCTAACTTAGGACGCCCAAACCAGGATCTAATACTATAATACTCACCGACATCCCCATCGAACCCTGATGGATGCACCGTCTCATAAGTTCTAACGGAACTAGGTTTTAAAGGAACCGGTAAATGGGACGGGCACGCGACATGGCGCGCCAAACGTGGGGCTACGGAGTGAAGGTCTAAATATTAGATACCGGGCTATCCGACGTAGAACTGTCTTTTAGGCTGATAAAAGCTTGCGCGCTAAGGACCTATTAAGCTTATAACCTTGGAGTGAAAACCGCACCAGTTTCTCGAAAAAGAAAGAAATCTGGGAGAACGGACGATCAACTTAAAAAGGTATAAAGAAAATACGGCATTCCGACGCAAGAAAAGCCAAGGATAAAAGCTAGGCAAAAAATAAAAATAAATAAAGAATAAGAAAAACTTTTAACCAGCCATGGCAGATAGATCTTTCAATATCCTGTAACCGGAGCTTTCAGAACGAGGCCGGAACGGCTCAAGCCGCAGCGGGGCGCTGTCCGGGTGCTGAGGCACAAGTGAGATGCGATTAAACGTCATGGCTGGATCAAAATCTAGTGAAGGACTGATATGTAAGAATCTGTGTGACTTGGGCCTCGTTTCTGGTAACACGGGGAGGTATTTGTCACGAACTGTAAAGTAATCATGTTTCCTAGCTTCATAGAATCTCATGTCGGGCATCGTCACGCGCAATGGAGGCTAGAAGCCGGGAACATGTATAATGTGTGAACCTCTGTGCTTAAGGGCTCCGTGAGGGGAGAAACCGTGCCGCCTGTAAAGGACGGACTTATAACTGGGAGCATTGGAACTCTGCTCCAATTAAACTTTGTTTTTAGAGGATCTGCTTGAAACAAGCACCTAGCTTCCGCTCTCGGCAGCCTGCAGATATGAGAAGCCACAGCTGAACAGAGAAAAAGCACTCAGTCAGCTGAGCAACAACAGACAAGCAGGATGTGGTGACATCACCCCTCCCCCTACTAGTTCTGTTGAGAAGGGAGAGTCCTGAACTAACAGCTCCGTATGATTCTGACCTGACAGACAGCTACACTAAAAAGGCGTAAGCATTTTTAACCTTGCCACATTTGGTGTTGTTGGCAGGATCCATGTAGTACTGTCAAGTAGGTCCGTGGATGTGAAGTTTGTGGCACCCTGCGCGGGAGTACGAGGACGCGCTGGTGGAAAGAGGGGGGAAGGTGTGACAGTGTGAGCGTTCTGTCACAATGTCTTGATTGATGATGCGCCCTGGCTAGTTAGCTAAGGGAATGTCCCTTTGGCTGAGTGGTTAGAGCGTATGACTCCCACCCCGGGGGTCTCGGGATCGAATCCCGCCCGGGCCCTCATTAAACCACCTTGCCACACTTTATAGTTTTTAGCGTAAGCTTCCCACCTGCAGCTGCAAGCAGAGTTAGCTTGTTGCTGTTCAGGTGTGTGAGGAGAATATTTGAAGCTCTGCAGTAAAAGATGTCTTCAGTCTGGAGGGAGAGAGTCTCTGCTTGAAGGTGGAGACTGAGATGTTCCAACCAGCAGCTCAGCTGACCAGATGGAAGTAGAAACTGGTGGAGAAGCAGGAACCCAGTTCTGAACCCTCATGAACAAACATCTGGTTCTTCAGAGACTGAAGTGAGTGATGATGATGATGGTGTGTATCTGGACTCTGAGCTAGTCAGACTCTGGGTCTGAGACTGGAGATGAAGATGATCCAGAGGAGGAGGCAGCCCCACCCCAAAGAAGGCTGTTGCAGTCCCCTGGCTAGATTTTTCTCGCATGGGGGATGTTGCGAGTCCCACATGCCAAAGACAGTGGCAAGTACGGGGTCAAAAGGTGAGCCATACTGGACTGGCTTGTGCGAGCAAAATCAGCCAGTCGACAGGAGCTGGGCTGCAGGTCAAAAAAACTGTGGTCAGAAACAAGGGTCACACAAGGGTCACAGGGACAAGAGGACAGAACTGGGCGAAGGGTCAGGAGACTGACCCCACCTCTTTGCCCCACCCCTGGCTTGGAAAGATGGGATTGGAGGAGAACAGAATGAAGACAAGCCCATCAGATCCAGAAGCCCTCTCGGGAACATTGGAGAGAAACTGAAGAATGCTGCAAAAGATGATGCAATGACCTGTGTTAAGAAGGAAAATGACACCAAATGTTTTGTGTTGAGCTACAAAGTGTGTATCTGGTAAATGACCCCATGACCTTAAGCTGGTCCAGGAAGGGTATATAAGAACAGCTCTGAACAGCAGATGGAGATTGAGAGATTCGACAGCAGTTGGGGCAGAGGACAGAGAGGAGAGCAGATGGGGAGGGGTCATCCCCCGTCCAAACCTGGATGGGGGATGACAGAGAGAGAGAGACTAGAAAGAGTTCGATTCTGAGAAGACAAGAGCTGGTGTAAACTAACTCTTATTTAATCATTTTGAACTAATTCCTCCGTGGGGGATAGCAGTTGTTTTTTCATCTACCCATTTTTGTATTTTGATTTTGTAATAAACCTTTTTTGAAAAAGAAACATAATCCTGATTCTTTCAGGTTTTCTCTAAAGCTTCACGAGTGGGGGCTCTGATCATTAATTGCACAGAGGTAAGCACATTAATTATGGGTTCTGGAATTATCAGGACTTACTTTACGGTTTGTGACAGATTAATATAAAGAAACCTTAAGATAACGGGATTGCTTAAAAAGAAGTGAGCTACTACAGAAGGAAAGGTCTTACATATTATTTCACCTTTAAAATAAAAGATATGATTCTAACTTAGGACGCCCAAACCAGGATCTAATACTATAATACTCACCGACATCCCCATCGAACCCTGATGGATGCACCGTCTCATAAGTTCTAACGGAACTAGGTTTTAAAGGAACCGGTAAATGGGACGGGCACGCGACAAGGTGTGTAATGTACTACAGCTACTTAGGTGTGTAATCTACTCCAGTTACTCAGCTCTATAAAAGTCCACATTACAGCAGGAAGTGGATCACATTTAACAAAGGTCACACACTCAAAAATGTTGGGCAGCTTAAAGCACACACACCACTTTCTACATTTTAACCTCACATGTGACACATTTTAGAAACTCTCACATGTTTTCTAACCCATCAGTCACATATAGCACTTGCAATGAAGCTCTGTCACCTTAGAGGCTTGCAGCAGATTTCATAGTGACTTGAATGTTCACACCAAGCTTAGTCAGGTAATGGGATATGTATTTAGCATGTAAACATCACTTTACTTCCAAAGGAACATTTTACCTTTAATAGTGTGAATTCATATCAACACATATGTTCTCTCTGATAAACATCCAACATAGCTGTGGATGTTGGCTGTTTTCACTCTTCTCTGGACGCTCACTGAGGTTAGGAAGCACACAGCAGCTGTTTTTAAACTACAGCAGAAAAACAATAGAATACAGTTAAAATGTATAATCATACAAATGCATACAATCAACGTGTTTAATAGGGTGAACTTACACGTCGTGTTTTGTTTCTCTGCCGCGCTATTTTTCTTCCTTCCTACATAACGGACCATCTCTCCTGCTGGATTCTTCATCTCCCGACTCTCTCTGCGTGCTCTAGCAGCCTCTACGTCATACCTGTGATTTGATTGCTCATCAAAGGTATTCTCATAAAGCACGTAATGAGCACAGTCACCTCCTGAGCCCCATTACCAGCTGTGAGCTCAGCTTCATGTTACTGTAATTCCAGCTCTTAAAACCTTTTAGTTCTGCCATTATTCAACTCTGCCTGGCCTTGTTTATCTTTATCTTTGAATAAATTTGTCAAAAAAGGTCGTATCTGCACAAAACATTTTCAGGACAAGCTTAGCTTTCCGTATCATCTGTAAAGATTTTGCAGCTATTTTGTTTGAAATTACCCAAAAAAAAAAATGTAATAACAGAAAAAAACTGATTTCATTTTTCTTCAGAAATGTATGAATAGAAAATACAGATGTACATGAATAAAAAATCTGAAATACCAGAAATCAAACCTAACATGGATTACAACCTTGTATTGATTTTTTTACATTTACAACTTTCAGTGTCTGACTTTCAGGTGATATTGTCTGTCAATGTTCAGGCGTTTTTAGCTGCTGTGGTCTTCTGCAGAGCAATTCCTGTCCTGCTGCAGACAAAATACTTTCTTGCATTCTTAGCACATCCAGGGAGTGCTTTTTTGCACTGCGTGTACCTGGTTTATCCATGACGGGAAGCTGATAGCCAGGAGTTCTTCTGGGGATAAATCTGGGTGGCGTGGGGTGACAGTACCTGGGTTTGACTTTGTTGTCCAGGAGTCCAGAAGATGTGGAGCATCTCCAGCAAGATCCTTCCTCTGACACTGCCCATTGCTGGTGAATGGCTCATCAGAAGAATCTCTAAAATTAAAAATATATCAAATCATATAACATTTAAATTTTCAAGCAGTAAATACTGGTAAATGAAAACTGAATAAAATAAAATTAAACACAGAACTAAAGTTAAAAATATTTTTGAACTGTAGATAAACTTACTGCAGCTGTGATGGGAAATCATCTTCACTCGCACCTGAATCCTCAACCACAGATGTATATGGAGGTTTTGTTTTCCTGGAAGTAGCAGTAGTAGTATAATAGAATAGTAATAGTATTAGCACAAATACTGGACAACAAAAACTGGAACGTCTTTAGTGGAAATATTTAGTGCAGAGAAACTTACTGCGTTTGTGATGGAAAAACGATGAGGGCACATCTTGCTCCTCATCAACAGATCTTGAGGAACATTTCCTATTTCTAGAAGATTTCCTGATTTCTTTCATTATTTACAAAAACGAATCTAACATAAAACAATAAAAAGCCTCCGTGAAAAATGCATCTGAAAAAAAAAATACGGGTGGTAAAACAAAAACAAACATGGCAAAAAATGTCACAAAAGTCTCAATGTATGCTAAATTACTAAATGCAAACATAAAGTACGATACTTACCGAAAATATTTATTATATCAGTATAAGAGAACAGTGGCGGCTGGTGAAAAATATTTTTGGTGGGGCTGTGCTATTTTTTTTTAACAAACTTATGCTTTCTGACCTTTGTGCACAACTTCACTATTTCCTGAATTAAGCACAGCTCTTTTATTTCCTGTCTTACATTATTGGACAAAGGGATTAATCCACGTGTGTCTGACTATTGGCACGCTGCCTTGCGGACCAAGGCTGAAAAATACTGCATTGAATTGCACATAAAATAACATGACCATATATGGTCCACATCCACATTACCGTTTGTGAAACTAACATACTGGAGAATTTATCACAATAATATTAAATAAACAAGTATGTACCTGATCTTTTGCATACTGTTGGTGAAGCTCTGGATGACCCCTGTGATGGAGACAGACTCAATGTTCCTCTTCTGCAGCTGGTTGAACAGCATGTCCACATGTGGCATGATCTTGTGAAACAATGCCAGCAGAAAGCCGAAATCTTCTTCCTCCAGCATTCTCACAAAGCCTCCTGCCTCTCTCTCAGTGACTGGATCAAAGTCATCCGAGTCTGATCATCTGGAAAAATCTGAGGAGGTCATCATTGTGCTCATACACTGTGCTGACATCTCTCTCTCTTGGACAAAATGTGCCGGTTCTGATCCACTTCTTCATTGTGTTTATTCACTGCAAGCCTGCGTCCCTCGTCTCGAGCTGCATGGCTATGTTAGCTCTGCCTAGCATAGCTAGCTTCACCGTGTTGTCCATGTGCGCCCGGGATAACTCATGTTTCTTCACCTTCTCAGAAAAATGTTTCATGTTCGTAACTCCTGACTCAATCCATGCCTCATCTGTCACAGTCGTTTGGAAAGCAAAATAACGCATTAGCATGATTGCATCCAGCTAGCCAAGCCTTCCCAGAAGCCTCGTGTGTACAGTTTACCTCTCTCCTCCTCCTGCTGGCTTATCTTTACGTCGGGCTGATCTGGTCCAAGCTCTTTGACATTAAGTTTTTCCACCATAGTTCTCCTCTCGAACTGGAGAAGAGACCGAACTGAATTCAGTGGCTGCTGAGATCCGGTATCCATGCTGCTGCTGGTTGTAGGCGCACTGGCTTCCATGTTTATTCCGTATGCGTCACGACCATCACGAGTCACGACCAAAAACGTGCTGGAGTAGATCTCCGAGTTCTACCGAGCACTAACGAAAGCCTTTGGCGGTAGCTCTATCGCCCGTCATGCTTCTGAAACAACGTCGACGCTGATTGGATACATTCCCATTCCTACCCTTTGATTTTCTTGTCAGCAATTGGACGACTGGTCTCGTCCCGTTTGGCCGATTGAAACACAACACACAGCCTCCACCGCTCGGCAGAGACCGGCAGAGACCGGCAGAGACCAAAATAGAAATATATATATATATGATTTATTTTTGTTACAAAACACACAATTAACTTAGAATATGTGATTATTGTTAATTGTATTTATTTATTTTTTAAAATAAAAAGCCTTCTGGCTAATTCTTAGATTTAAAAGAATGGTGTTGATGCTCAAATTATTTTCAAATAAACAATTCTTTAGGATTCAACGGTGTTTGTATGTGTGTATTTTAGTTTGCATCTAATGTTGAAACTACAAAGATTTAATTAGTGCACAATCGAAATGTTTCTGACAATCACATACAAAGAAAATTTAAAATTTATTATTTAGTACAAAAAAACAGCAGATTTACATTATTTTCGTACACTAATGCAAAATCAGTTTTACATATTCTAGCAAATGACAGTAGCACTGTTTCTTGTCTGCATGGGATCATGGGAGTTGATAATTTTTGGTGTGTTTTTTTTTGGGAACAACGCTCTTACAGAGGTTTGTTAGAGCAGCACACACAATCACATCTAGAATGTTGAGTTGTGACACAGGAATTACTGTTTGAAAAATCTTACATTTCTTCCAGCGTCCTATTACTCATTCAACGTGTATCCTGACACGAGACAGTTGTCTTGATGAGTCTACCTCCTGAGCAGAGAGTTGCTTTTTCCCTTTTGTGAAATGACGTATACGGAGAGTGGCTCCACAAGCGGCAAGTTCATCTCGGATTTGAAATCCTCTATCAGCTACAATCTCATCATTGTGTTCTAAAAGACCAACCCCGACTCTTTTGTTATTTGTTTGTCTGAAACCCTTACACCCCAGCCAGGTGACAGAAAGGAAATTGCTCCAACTGGGGTGATGCCAATCAAATATTTAATTGTGTTGCTGTGTTTGTAATTTGACCATGTCTGGGCCCTAGCAGTTAGATTGCTAGGTCTAGAAATGAACATTTCTGTACAGTCTATTATGCACCGACATCGTTTGAAATTCCGTCTGAAAACTTTGGGCATGCTCTTTAGTACGGCTCCCTTACTTGGCCATTTAATGAGTGGTTTAAGTATTACAGACACGGCAGGTATCCAGCTTCGACAAATATTTGATATAGTTGTTTTAGAAACATTAAATCTGTATGCCAAATCCGTGTTGCTTAGACCCAGTGTTAATTTCATTAGTACAACCAATAGATGATCTTGAGCGGTTAGTTTTTGGCAAATTATCTCCACACTATCTGTTACTTTTGTTAGGAGCCAATCAAAGACAAGAGTTGTAAGTCCTGTGAAAAAAACAGTGCTCCCCTGTTGCACCTAATATTTGCATTGGAAAACGCTTAATTTGTCAGCTCCTCTTTAAGCTTGCAATTTTCTGCCTTAAGTTTTTCAAACTCCAGCTGCAGGTTGACATGATTTTTATGAAGCCCAGCATATCTTTGTTGTACGCCATCTTATTCTCTCCTTGGAACAGGGAGGTCCTCTTCAGCTTTAACACAGAAATATGAAAAGTTATCAAATGCACCAACAAGTCCACACAAATATTTTTATTGTAACAGAAAATACAAAATCCTTACCGGCATGGTGAGCCAATGATGGTTGCTGATCTGTATTCTCTGAAGCAGCCAGCTGATTTGATGGCATGCAAGACGTTTCATCCCTTCTCCTTTTCCATTGATACCTTAATGTAACAGGTCTAAATTACTTAACAGTTACACAAGTCAAGAGCCAAGATATAATAACACTGAACATCATGAATAGCAAGAATTTCTAAATATTAAATATATCTGTGATGGGAAGGTGTAAACATTACCTGTCCATCTTTGCATGGGGGTTTGGACTTCGCTTTGTGTACGTAAACACAGAAGGCACAAAATCAGGACTCGAGGAGTCCAATGACACCTCGCCTGTAAATAAATTGACTGCTTAAAAGCAAACCAGCAAACACAACTTACTTTATTTTATAGAACACAAGTTAACCAGCTTTCTGGTGTAATCTTAGTACATAATAACCTTACCTGATATAAAATGGGCGCTACAAACTCGAGCATTTTGGATCGTGTTTTCAGTCCAGTTTTCATCAACCCTTTTGATGGCCTGCAGCCACAGACGCCTCCGATTTTGTTGAAATGGATTTGCTCCCTTCGGAATTCTGTAAAGTTTCAGTCCACTGCTTGAAGAGAAGCGATTCTGGCATCCATACACGCAACAACCCGACATTTTTATGTGCTCAGAACTTCAAAACAAAGGGTTTAAAATGCTGTTTTAGTATCGAGTGTGAATGAGGAACCCTTCACTCTCGTTGCCAGGCTGCGCACGCAACTTTTGATGACGTAAGTAGTAAAAGGGTCTATAGACATGATTATGTAGACGCCACATTTGACGCTGGAGAACGTAAAAACAACGCCACCATATTGGATGGGTCTCCTCACTCTCCAAAATCAAAGCAGACTGAGCAGCAATGCCCGTTTATGTGCAGCCGTTGGTTACAACAACCGTCGTACTATTGACAAAATATCATATGAGATTACTACTTGCTTTTCTACCCTATCAGTTAGATATTTCTATTAAAAATTATTACATATCGTGGTTAAACACATTTATATTTTAATTATAATACCATACCTTGTGTCTATATTTTAATTGTCATGCCATACCTTGTGTCTGCTTTTGTGAAAAAGCTTCATAAAATGTGTTTTTTAACTTGGGTCAGCACCTTCCTCAGCATGTACAGGGGCAAATGGAGAAACATCTCAAATGGCAACCAGCCACTACAACATCTCCAATAGGCGGCACCAGTCCATTGGGCATCTATGTATATATATATATATATATATGGTCTACTAAGCCTAAACCCTCCTCCTCACTCCAGATGTCTTAACCTAGATTAACACTGATTCTGCACAAATAAAAGCTCAACAATGGTCAATCCCCATACCCAATAAAATGCAAAATAAAGATAAAAGAACACTTAGCTCTATTTGATGTTCAATGCACCATCCCCACATCTAAGCTTTCTTAGCTTGGCTCCAAGTGGCACGATCCACTGGCTCAGGACAGTGACATCTTCCATACATGGCATTATGTTCCCCCACAACTGTAAACAGAGGGTCTCTCCTAAAATTCATATTCACTATCCATGTTGCCTTCCTATAACAGGAACCTGACCCTACAGCCTCTAGCTTTCTTCCCAACCTTAAATAGCAAATTGACATCACAAGACCCCACCACTGAGTACTACAATAGTTGCTTGGCTAGGCTACATCCTACTTCACTTCACCTAATCTGCTCTCCAGACATATCTGCACTTAATATGGCCCTTCCCTTATCCTGTCCACACCAGACATTTCAGCTGCACAGCTACAGTCACTTAACCTCCCTACCATCATCCAAATTCACTCTTGAGTCCTCTATAAAATAGGTTAATATTCATTTAAACATTAATTTGGCCACAGTTAAGCTCAACTCCCCTTTTCTTATGTGATGAGGAGGAGAGGATGAGGCCTTCAAGTGGAAAAGCTAATAATGCCACACTGCCCTTTTCAAACCACAACAGCCATACCCTCTCCTGGTCCTGGAAAAGCAGTAGCTAGCATGTTTTAGTTTTAACTGTGCTTCAACACACCTTATTTCAATCAGCAGGAGATTTACAGGCTTTTGAAAAACCTGATGACCTTCTGCTCAATGATTCAACAACAGAATTAGCTGTGTTGGAGTACAGAAACATGGATGATAACTTTGGAAGATAACCACAGGAGGGAGGACTTTTCCATGACTGAGCTTGATTGCAGATTTGCAGCTTGACATGTCCTGTTTGTCCCCTCTGACTGGTATCTGTTGAAAAAAGCATAACATCTCAACTAATCACAGTTTTTAAAATGTAACATACAAAAGACATAATGAGCTTGTATAGTGCTATGATGGAGAATCCTATGAATTAATTTCTAATGTCAACTGAGTTTATACAACCTTGTTGATTCACATTTCAGCCCACTGTAAAATAAAACTAAACCAGCTATTACATACATTTAAATAAAACTAATTCTGGTTTAACCTACGTTCATTAGTATTTCTGTACATGAGCTCGCCCACAATAATGACATAGGATCTGGGTGCCGGCAAAAAATACAGATAAGACATGAAGCATGTTTACAGTATCTGAAGTCCATTCAGTAAGTCCCTACATGTTACCAGATCACGTCACACATATTGATGATGTTAGCACAACACATAGATTTATTGGGTTGAAACTTACACTAATGATTATTTTATAGAACAACACTCATTGGACCAACTTGTGGTGCAATTGCCATTTATTAAATTGCAAACTGATAAGCTGTGCTGAGGTAAGAATGGCATTATACTTGGCTTGTGACATCATGTGACTTCACCAAACACATTGATGTGGTTGTTGGTTCAAATCCCTGTAGCTCCACCCATTTTAGATCACTGTCTCTAGAAAGAACACACAACGTCTGATTGATGCCAAAATAACAGAAAACGATCTTTGTCAACCAAAGCTGACCTCAATGGGATTATTCTGTGATTGGTCACAATGCCCCCTGGATAAATTTAGCCTACTATAACTTCAAAAATCATGATCAGAAAACCATTAAAGGTGGTCTGTGTCATCACACCACCAGTGAGATAAAGATAGAGCATGCCCTAGTGGTGAGATGTGTAATTTAATGGTGGGCTCAGAGAGGATGCTGAGGCTAGGTGAAGTGCAGACAAGGTGACCATTAGCGGTTACTTTTTGTCGGGGTGGTCAACGTTTCTGTTCCGCGGACGTGCCCTGGCGCCCTGGGCTGCGGGCCAAGCCGGAGCGGCGCGGAGCTGCGAGGGCCGAACGACGCTGCTTGCAGCTTTAATTAGGCCCGAGCAGCGAAAGCGCTGCGAAGGCCTCTTGTTTTTGCTCTGTTTATTCTTTTTTATTTATTATTCTTAGCCCGCTTTGAATGGACTTTTGGGGACCTTAT